AAAGAAGGATGAATGGAGAAGATTTGAAAAAGAGGATGTTGGAGGAAGAAGATGAGGGCAAAATTATAATTTTGGTGGGCTCCACTTTTTTTTTTTGTGTGTTGAGCAAGAATATAACATGTCATGTTGTTATGTTATCATTTTTATTTGATGTGTATCAAATTTTTGACATATCATTAATTTCATATGAGTTAACAGTAGATTTTTAACGAAGGATCAAGTTTGGGTTAAATTGATAAATAGTAAAAATCAAATCAGAGATTTTTTAAGTTTAAGAACCAAATCTAATTCCATACAATAGTTTAGGAATCAAATAGGGTTTTAATCTAATTTCAAAGACTCTGTTTTGACTCTATCTTCTTCGTTCTTCATCACTTCTTAATATTCTCCCAGTACTCATCTTCCCCACGTCTCAACTTGCCGCGTAGCATTATCTCTTCGCTCATGATATTCTCGAAGCTCCACAACATTGTAAGGTCAAGGTATGGCGCATGAAACCGTATCACCAGGAGAAGTCACCAGGGTCTCTGCTATAAACTTTTACCAATTTTCACTTTCAAGACACCACTGTCTCATGACAGCGCTCTACTGCTCTTAGTAACGATTGTTGGGAATTTTGAGCACTATAATACCACAATAACAGAAGTAATAAAGAATTTGATACAATAATTTAATATGATTTGATTTATATACCTTTCAACAATTCTAAGTTTGTAGGAAAGAAAAATAAATCCACTACTAAAAAATTAGTAATAATTTAGAACTAAACACTTTTATTTAAAAAGGTCTCAATACCCTAATATCAATATATAAAAACTTCTAAATTGTTCCTAATACTTTCTCTCAATGTTCACAAGGCTTTATCTCACAATTTTTCTCTTTCTTTTCTCCCACAAGGGCACTTATTCACTTAGCTCTTCTCAATTTCTCTTGCTTGCTACCTTTAGCTTTGCGTGGGCATTTATAGGGAGAGAGCCAACCACCCGTGCACCTTTTTCTTTGCCTCATTAATGAGGTCATGCAATTTTGCAGGATTTCAACCAGGGCAATTCCTAGCCCACAACTAGCTAAGTCAGTG